GTGTAAAGTATAACAGTCCAGAAATGCGCCCATACACATTTCTGGATTAAATAAATGACTGTGAATAATTTAAATACCTTGAAATTATTTAAACTCAATAAATTAAATCAAATTAGACACACTAATAATCTCAATTACCTTAATTAATCTCAATTAATTCTTCAGGGTGTTACACTAACAAACTCAACAATGTTACATATGACTCTAAATTGAAAGAAATAGGCATAATTAAAAATGGAATAAAAATAAATAGAACAAGATTTATAATTAGTTAGTAAAGTAAATCCAATTTTACTCTAAATTAATATTTCAAAAATGCCACAACTAAAAAAAATAATAAAACCCAAAAAAATAAAAAAATATAAAAAGACTTATTAATTTCTATATATTAATAAATTAGTTATTTACCAACATAAGTTTTAAATGTATGTTTATTTTCTACAATTTTCCATGACTTTTCGTTAAAAACCAATGTTGCATACGATTTCTATTCATGGTACACAAGTCATTCTCATGTATACACTTAATAGCATATTTGCTACCGGGCCTTTTAGGATGTGTTTATTAGATAGATTCAGAATTATGATTTTAGATATTGATTTAGAATTAGTGTTTGTTTACAATGATTTTAAATCGTTATTCAGAATCAGTATTTAGTTTGAAAGATTCTGAATCATAATTCAGAATTTGATGTGATGTTTTAAACTAGCTCAAATCGTGATTCTAAAACCACCCCCCTCTTGATTCAAGGTGATTTAAATCCTTAATTCTGAATCATTGTTTTACAATCATGATTTGAACCCAAAATTATGAATCATGGTTCTGATTTTAAAATTATAATTAGAATCACATTGATTTAAACACTCGTGACGGCCTCGTTCACTTCGCTGATTCGAGTTTAGAATTTGAGTTGAGATGTGACTTTATGTGAGAACTTTTTACTGTAGCAAAAAAGTTAGATGTAATTATTTATAAGAGCTTTTTATTGTAAAAAAATTTAAATTTTAAACTCGAATCAGCAAAATGAAAGGGATAAACCTTAGTTCTTGCGTTTCTGATTTTTAAATTGTTTTTATGTACTTTCAGTTACATATGAATTGACCTCTCTGCCCTTAAATTAATTATAATACAATTTACCTGCAATAGAAACAAGTGTCGTGTGAAGCCCATAAACTGGCTGACACCATTACTTTTAACATTAACACCTGGTTTTTTATTTAACTTTTTGCACTGCACAAGATTTCCACTTTATTTAATTCCCTTTTTCCTTAGAATATTAACGCTTAATTTTAGTATATGTCACATGTTTGGATTCCATGTGTTGGATAAGGGGTGCGACTGCATCACCTGCAGGCAAGTGCACTTTCTAATTTCCTTTTTCTTTTTCTTTTTTGCTGGAAGATATTCACTTGTCTATTGAAAATTTGAAATCGATGTTTTTCTTTCATCAGAAAAAATGGATTTAATGGTCTCACAATTAAGGATGGTTGGATTCGCGAATTTAAAATTTTAATTTAAATTAAAATGTGATATTTTTTATAATAAAAAAATTAAATGTGATATTTTTTAAAAAATTTTAATTTTAAAAATTTAAATTGATAAAATAAATGAAATTTAAAATAATTACCAAATAAAATAACAAGGCTTATTTGTTTGTACCGTTCCTGATTTTTTTTGGTCATTGACGATATGCTTTTTTATTTTTTTGGGCAATTACTCCTTTAAATTAAAAAGTAATTGGCAAAGACGTCCCCAAAACTCACAATACTTTTTTTTTTTTTTACGAAAATTCAAATATGTGGTACACATGGGTCATTAATAAGTGGCAAAAGAGAGCATTAATATCTTATTTAACCAATATTCATTAGGTTAGCTCGTTCAATTAATTTTTATCAAAATATAATAATTTGAATATGTTGTTTTAAAAAATAACGTTTGACTAAAAACAAATAAAATAAATACTCATATCCTTAAATAACGACCCATGTACAAGTCACATGTCAATTTCTTTAAAAAAATAATACCATTATTATTTGGGTGCTTTTAATTTGTTACACATTTCTAAATTGAGAGGGTTACTTTCCCTTAAAAGAAAATGCTCAGATAGAAATTCAGGAATCAAATAGTGAAAAAAAAAATCAAATAATAATTTTACTGCCAATAATTCAATCCAATGTCATTGAACAACATTAATACATCTCAATTTCTATTTAATTTTATTTTTTTGCTAAAGCAATATTACTACATTGATTTGCGGTATGTGGCGCATGAAATTATAGTTTGGGAGGTTCCCAATCTATGATGGGATATCATTTTGGCATCCTAATCTTAGCTTATATTTGTTAAATCATGTATAAAGATATTATTAAGAGCTTCATTGCTCACTTAATTGCACTATTCTTTTTTTTCCCACTTGACGTGTGACTATTATTTGAACTTTAGTGCTTGATTGAACGATGACAATTTTTTCCCTTTAATTTTCTCCCCCGGCATTCATTTTACTTTGCCTTTTTTCTCTAATACAATTTTGTCTTGAAACATTTGTTGTGGGGAAAAATCTGATGCTCCACGTGAGTCACTAAATGATTGGCACATGGCACAGCTGGGTAATTAATAACCACACCAGTTGTATACAAAGTATCCCACTACTCTATGGACGCCGACTCTAAACTGGAAATGGAGCTCCTAAGAGGACGATCGTGCTGAGGAAGATATCGCAGTACGAGATTAATCGCAATATCATCTGAAGACGAAGACTTCTTCAAGGGACACTTAAGCGTCGATCCTACTCACGTCTACAAGATGTAATAGCTGTTTAGAGATTTGACAGGCATTTAATGCATGCAGAGTCAGTGGTGAAGTCGGTGGGAAAATCAGGCAGACTGACCAAAATCTCGGTCATCAGAGGTTACTATTCCGAGAGTTGGTAAAGATATCTCAGAGTTTAATTAGGAATTTAACATGGACAATATGATGCATAAATATAAGGTTAATTGCCCATAATGAGGGTCTGAATTCTCTCTCTCCCATTGTAATATTTTCCCAAAATATAGTGAAATTCTCTCTCTTAGTGGATGTAGCTCCAAAAACCGGAGTGAACCACTATAAAATTTATGTGTTGATTCTTCCTTTATTTTTTTCTTAATCATGTTTTTACTCATTAAATTCGCGCACAAACCACCTAAAACTTGTTATTAATATGTTGACGAATTTTTACCGTCAACAACATTCCTTTTGGTCGGAGGACAAAGAGAAAAGATAACTGGTGTAGGGTTTTCCAAAAGTAAGGTTGTAAGAATTCGGCCCGAACTCGACTAACTAGTCCTACCTAAACCAACCTTACTCGAAATTTGTGATTTTCTTTTCGGATTCAAATAGGCCCAACCCGCATATTGCGGGTTGGGACGTTGGGCGAGCTTCCTTTGGCCCGCTACTCCCTGACCCAGCCGATGAAATCTGTAGAAAAAAAACCCTAATATCCTATCTCTTTCCTCACTTCTCTTAGTTCTATGATCTTTCACCTCTATTTCTCTTTGCGTCGCTTAACAGCTCCTCATTCTCTCTCTCTGCTAGCCTCCTTCTCTGACGATGTTCCTCTTCTTCTTCTCACACTCGTCGAGTCGCCGTCCCTCGCCGTTTCTTCTTAGAAGCATAGCCAGAGGCTCTCAAGCTTAGCCTTTCTCCCTCTCACTTCCTCAGTCCTTAGGCCCCACTTCCTCCGTCATTCCTCTTCTTATGCGCCTGGTCTGGTGGCAAGAAGCCATAGACAAAATCTACGCAAAAAAGACAATTGAACACCCAACGGCGCAGGCGCTCTCCTTAATCATACACAAGAACAGAATCACCAAAGGCTGGCTGAAATGGCTAGTAGAAGCTTGGATCAATGATGCAAGGAGAGAGGTCACTAAAATTCTAGAAAAAATCAAAGAGTTGGATTGATATGTTGAAGATACTGCATCAACTATTGTTTACACAATGCTACAAGCTGGTGGTATCATGTCCACTGCAGCTAATCACGAAGCATCACATATTGATAAAACGAGCAACCTTCTTTTGCTAATTAAGTGGCTACCTTACCATGCTAGCCGCAACCACCATTTTTCATATATACCGATTGAGGTAGCTAAAAAGCATGGATTACTAGTTGAACAGGGAGGTCGATCATAAATAAATTTGGATTCGATCATAAAATTTACTCCAGCAACCTTTGGACACTAGCCCAACGTCCATGCCCAAACCGCCCAACCCGAGATCACCTGACAAGTTACGAGTTTGTGGACCCAAAGGGGTGTTGTGGCCCAACCTTTTCTTAACCCACAGTATGCGGCTCAGCCTAATTTTTCGGCCCAACCCGAGCCTACTCGGCCAAATTACACCCCTGGTCAAAAGTATTTAAGATAATGTGATGGAGTGGTACCCTCCGTTATAAAGTTACTGATGCGACAGTATTAGAAATAAAAGTCTGAAAAAATAGTACTAGTGGTAAGATTATTTCTTTTTTAATTGTCATTTTTGTTATAATCCCTATATAATTATCACTTCGATAAATAAAATTATCGGAATTTAAGGTATGTTTAGAAAGTATACTCAAATTATGATTTTTGATTCTGACGTTTGAAATTTAAATTTTTTTTAAAGAATCAGGTCTGTTTCACAACTTAAGTTATGTATGTGAAAGATAAATACTGTAATAAAAAAATTAAATTTTAATTTTTATAAAAAAAATATTGTAACAATGAAACTTAAATTGTGAATAGATCTTAATAATTTGACTTTTGAGTACATAAAATAAACATAAACAAGCCCTTAAGTAATTAAAAGAAAGGTTAAAAAGAAGAAGAAGAAGTTAAAGAAGGAGTGAAAATGAAAATGGATTCTGCTTTTGAGAAAAGTGAAAAAAGCGACAGCTTAAACATTCCATCCAAAAAATAGTACAGGACAAGATAGCATAATAATATATATAGATTTATGCAACACATATTTCAAAGTTCCAAACCCCCCAACATTTCAAATTTTTGCCAACTGCAAGGGCCCAAAAGTGCAATCAAGCATATCACTTCTGTTCCTTTTCAAAATCTAGTCCTCTTGACCCGCACACAAGACACAAACAATGAAACAAAACCCGCTTCTGAGTTCTGCCCCCACACAAAATCAGTGTGTAAATTACCAATACACATTTTACATTACATACCCCATTACCCATTTGGCCATTTTCACTTTCCTCTTTTTTCTCTCCCCCCCTCTTCTACACACCTCCATTACTGATCAGTATTTTTCTCTCCTAGACTAGACTAGATCCAACAAGAACACAACTTTTATACTTTTGCCCCTCTTCTTTTTAAAGGGTTTTTCTTTTTGCTTCACTCTTCACTCATCAAATCAGTGGCAGAACAGACCAAAGTACTACTCTCTCTCTCTCTCTCCAAAATGGCTCTCTCTTCATCCTTCTTTCTCTACCTCTTTCTAACTATCTTCTTATCCTTAGCTTCTTCTTCTTGTTCTGATAATGATGATCATAAAAAGACCTTCATAGTTCAAGTCCAAAGACAAGCCAAGCCTTCCATTTTCTCAACCCACAAGAACTGGTACGAGTCTTCTCTCTCCTCCATTTCTTCTTCTCCCGACAACAAAACGACGACGTTAGATGCCTCCACCATAATCCACACATACGACACCGTCTTCGACGGCTTCTCCGCCAAGCTCACGTCTTTGGAGGCCCAGAAGCTCCGAACCCTCCCCCACGTCCTCGCCGTCATTCCCGAACAGGTGCGGCGCCTGCACACCACGCGCTCCCCGGAGTTCCTCGGCCTTAAGAAGACCGACAGCGCGGGGCTGCTCAAAGAGTCCGACTTTGGCTCCGACCTCGTCATTGGAGTCATCGACACTGGAATCTGGCCGGAGAGGCAGAGCTTCAACGACCGTGATCTCGACCCCGTTCCTTCCAAGTGGAAGGGCCAATGCGTCGCTGGAAAGGACTTCCCGGCCACCTTCTGCAACCGCAAGCTTATCGGCGCTAGGTTCTTCTGCGAGGGATACGAGTCCACTAACGGTAAGATGAACGAGACCACCGAGTATCGCTCCCCAAGAGACTCCGACGGCCACGGGACCCACACCGCTTCCATCGCTGCCGGCCGTTATGTCTTCCCCGCCTCCACCCTCGGCTACGCTCGCGGTGTCGCCGCCGGTATGGCACCCAAGGCCCGCCTCGCCGCTTACAAGGTCTGCTGGAACGCTGGCTGTTACGACTCCGACATTCTCGCAGCCTTCGACGCCGCCGTCGCCGATGGAGTCGACGTCATCTCCCTCAGCGTCGGAGGCGTCGTCGTTCCGTACTACCTCGATTCCATTGCCATTGGCGCCTTCGGCGCTGCCGACAACGGCGTCTTCGTCTCAGCCTCCGCCGGAAACGGCGGTCCCGGCGGCCTCACCGTCACCAATGTTGCTCCCTGGGTCACCACTGTCGGCGCCGGAACCATGGACAGAGACTTCCCAGCCGATGTTAAGCTCGGAAACGGAAGAACAATCCCTGGAGTGAGCGTATATGGCGGACCAGATCTTTCCCCGGGTCGGATGTACTCACTGATATATGCCGGCAACGAAGGTAGCGATGGGTATTCGTCGTCTTTGTGTCTGGAGGGTTCTTTGAATCCCAGTTCAGTGAAGGGAAAGATCGTACTTTGCGACAGAGGGATAAATTCAAGAGCTACGAAAGGCGAAGTGGTGAAGAAAGCAGGAGGAGTCGGAATGATACTTGCTAACGGAGTGTTCGACGGTGAAGGACTTGTCGCCGATTGCCACGTGTTGCCCGCAACGTCAGTCGGCGCCTCGTCCGGCGATGAGATAAGAAAGTACATAACTTCGGCGTCGAAATCGCGGTCTCCACCCACGGCCACGATTTTGTTCAAGGGGACTAAGCTGGGGATAAGGCCGGCTCCGGTGGTGGCGTCATTCTCGGCCCGTGGGCCTAATCCGGAGTCTCCGGAGATTCTCAAGCCGGATGTGATCGCCCCCGGGCTGAACATCCTTGCGGCGTGGCCTGATCGGGTTGGTCCGTCGGGTATTCCGTCGGACAAGCGGAGGACAGAGTTCAACATACTCTCTGGGACGTCGATGGCGTGCCCGCACGTGTCCGGGTTGGCGGCGTTGCTGAAGGCGGCGCACCCGGAGTGGAGCCCCGCCGCAATTCGGTCGGCGCTCATGACGACTGCCTACACAGTGGACAACAGGGGTGAGACAGTGCTTGATGAGTCCACAGGGAATAGCTCAACTGTGATGGATTTTGGGGCTGGTCATGTTCATCCGGAAAAAGCAATTGACCCGGGATTGGTGTACGACATTACTTCTTATGACTACGTTGATTTCTTGTGCAATTCCAATTACACCACCAAGAACATCCAAGTGATCACTCGCAAGTCCGCCGATTGCAGCGGCGCAAAGAAGGCCGGCCACGCTGGGAATCTCAATTACCCATCGCTGTCCGCCTTGTTCCAGCAATATGGGAGGCACAAGATGTCTACACATTTCATTAGGACCGTGACCAATGTTGGCGACCCAAATTCTGTTTATCGGGTTACTATTAGTCCGCCGAGTGGGACGGTGGTGACGGTGGAGCCTGAGAAGCTGGCTTTTAGGAGGGTTGGGCAGAGGCTGAACTTCCTTGTGAGGGTTGAAGCCACGGCGGTGAAGTTGTCTCCTGGAAACTCATATGTGAAGAGTGGCTCCATAGTTTGGTCGGATGGGAAGCACAAAGTCACAAGTCCTTTGGTTGTGACTATGCAACAACCTCTCTAGTTTCTCTTGTTGTGAGCTTTAGGAATTTTGAATCTTCCTTAGTGCTTATGATATAGAATCATCATCTCTAAATATATGTATAATGAGAATGTGTTTTTTTTTTTTTTTTTTTTTTTTTTTTTTTCTGGACGGTTTTCTATTCCAGAAAACTGGTGGGGAGTTTGTTTCATGATGCATCCAAATATCTTCATGGTTTGTAAGATTAAGGATGAAAGATGTTTGTAGAAAAAAAAGATGCTTTTTGTATGAAAGAAGAGGCCAAGGATAATGCAAAGATCTCGTGTTCCTTAAAATCTGAATCTGTAAATTTGTCCGGTTGTTTTTTAGATTTAAAGTCAATATATGGTAAGTCCATGTGCTGGTATCTGCACGTAAGCTAACTGGTTACCAAAAAAGACATTGCAATGATGACAATGATCAAGACAAGAATCGTGTGGGGGTTATTTGCTTGATGCGTAGCTTTCTTTATGCGTAGCGATTTCCCAGGCAAGTATGTATAAATGAAAATTCAACTAACTGGATTTTATTAATTCTGTATATCATATTTATTTTAATTAATATGATTTCAATTAAATTTAACGTCATGAAACATGGATTGTTGGTTAGATCCTTACCATGGAATCTACATGTATAAAAGGCATAAGATTTAAATTTTAAAAAGATACTTCATGTGAATCATTGTCCAGCATATGCCATATTAGTTAACTGCATTTGTTCTATTGCCTGCCGTTCACTCTTTACGCTAAATTCTTCATAATATACATGTGAAATTTGGCAGTATTGATTTAACAGAACACACGTGAAATTTGAACAATATGTATGGTCTGCTAGAGTAAGAACAGGTTTTAGAAGCAGATTCTAGCTAAATTTAACCTATTTAGGAGGCGTTTGGTATACAGTAATCTTAAGGATGGGAATGAGAATCTGCAATATTATCATGTTTGGTACAAGAACTATAATATTTAGATTTTCAGAAAAGTGATTACCATGAGATTCACTTTTCCTCATTTTAAGGTAATCTGAATACCGCTTAACATGGTGTTATTCAAATTTTCAGGAATCTCAAAATCATGGGAATCTTATTATAATAATAATTATTATTATTATAATTATTATAATTATTATTATATTTAATATTATTAT